ATGGTGATGTGTAAATTACTTATTTTGTAAATATAAAGGTTAAAAGACAAAATTATTTTGAAATATAGTTATATTAATGTGATAAAGGATATACAATATTAAAAGATGCAAATTGTGACATCAATAACATCAAATGTGGGGAGGTGAAGTCTAGAGTTGTTGTATGCAAAGTTAAGTTGTTATTGGCTTAAAACAGCCTATTATAAGATGTTTTATACAAAGCAAAAACCTGTAGTAGATACACAAAAAAGAAAGAGAAAGAAATCAAAGACTACCTCTACAGAAAATCATCAAATCACAAAGGAGGACAGCAAGAGAGGAAGAAAGAAACAAAAACTCCACAGAACAACCATAAATCAATTAACAAAATGGCAGTAGTAAATCCTTACCTATCAAGAATTACCTTGAGTGGAAATAGATTAAAATATCCAATCAAAAAACAGAATGTTCTATGAGTTTTTTTAAAGACCCAACTATATGCTGCCTACAAGAGATTCACTTAACCTAAAAAGACACACAGATTGAAAGTGAGAGAATGGAAAAAGATATTCGTGCAAATGAAAACCAAAAGAGAGCAGGATAGCTGTACTTATAACAGATAAAATAGAATTTAAGCCAAAAAACTGTAAATTGAGACAAAGAGGGTCATTATGTAATGATATAAAGGGATTGATACATCAAGGAGATATAACAATTATAAATACATAGGTATCCAACATCAGACCACTTTAATATATAAAGCAAATAGATCTGAAAAGAGAGAGAGATGGCAGTATGATAATAGTAGGGAATTTCAATACTACACTCTCAACAATTGACAAATCATCCAGACGGAAAATCAATAAGGAAACATTGGCTTGAACTACACTTTAGATCAAATGAACCTGACAGACACATATTTTAAGTTGGTGCAAAAGTAACTGCATTAATGGGAAAAACCACAATTACTTTTGCACCAACCTAAATAGAACATTTCATTCAACAGCAGCAGAATACCCATTCTTCTCAAGAGCATACACATGGAAAATTCTCTAGGATACACCATATGTTAGTCCACAAAACAAATCTTAACCAATTTATGAAGATTGAAACCATTTCAGACCCCAATGGTGTAAAACTAGAAATTAATAATAGAAGAAATTTTAGGAAATTCACAAGCATGTGGAAATGAAACAACATGCTCCTAAACAAGGGGTCAAAGAAGAAATTAAAAGGATAATTGTTTTAATATCTTAAGATAAAAGAAAATGGAAGTTCAATATACCAAAAGTAATCCTAAGAGCAACAAATGCCTACATCAAAAAAGAAAAAGAAAGATCCCAAATAAACAACCTCACATTACATGTCAAAGGACTAGAAAAAGAACAAACTATGCCCAAAGACAATAGAAGAAAGGAAATTAAGGTAATGATCAGAGCTGAAATAAGTGAAATAGACACTAGAAGAACAATAGAAAGATCAACAAAACAAAGATTTGTTTTTTGAAAAGAGGAATAAAATTGACAAACCTTTAGCTACAGTAAGAAAAAAGAGAAGACTAAAATAAATAAAATAACAAATGAAAGAGGATACATTACAACTGGATCACACAAATATGAAAGATTAAAAGAGACTATTATGGGCAGGGCACGATGGCTCACATCTGTAATCCCAGCACTTTGGGAGGCCAAGGCAGGTGGATCACAAGGTCAGGAGATCAAGACCATCCTGGCTAACACTGTGAAACCCCATCTGTACTAAAAATACAAAACCAAAATTAGCCAGGTGTGGTGACGGGCACCTGTAGTCCCAGCTACTTGAGAGGTTGAGGCGAGTGAATGGCATGAACCCAGGAGGCAGAGTTTGCAGTGAGCTGAGATCACGCCACTGCACTCCAGCCTGGGCAACACAGCAAGACTCCATCTAAAAAAGAGAGAGAGACTATTATGAACATTTGTAGGCCAACAAATTGGATAACCTAGAAGAAATGAATTTCCAGACACATGCAATGTGCCAAGACTAAATCATGAATAAACTAAAAATCTGAACAGATTACTAATGAGTAAGGAGATTGAATCAGTAATAAAAAGTCTCACGTTTGAGACTTTTCCACTGAGACCTGATGGTTTCAATGCTGAATTCTATCAAACATTTAAAGAACACTAATACTAATTATCTTCAAACAATTCCAAAATATTGAAAAGGAGGGAATACTTCCAAACTCATTTTATAAGGCCAGCATTACCTGGATACCAAAGCCAAGTAGGACACTACAGAAAAGAAAATTACAGGCCAACACCCCTGATGAATATAGATGCAAAAATCCTTAATAAAATACTGGCAAACAGAATTCAACAACATTTTGAAAGGATTGTTCACCATGATCAACTGGGATTTATCCCTGGGATGCAAGTATGGTTCAACATATACAAATCAATAAGTGTGATACATCATATTAACAGAATGAAGGACAAAGCCATATGATCATCTCAATAGATGTAGAAAAGACATTTGACAAAATTCAACATCTTTTCATCCTAAAAATTCTCAACGAATTAGACGTAAAAGAAACTTACCTTAACACAATAAAGCCCATATACCCAAACCCATAGCTAACATCATTCTCAGTAAATCTTTTCCTCTATGATCAGGAATAAGACAAGGATGCCCACTCTCACCAGTTCTATTCAACAGAGTACTGGAAGTCCTAGCCAGAGCAATTATGCAAGAGAAAGATGTAAAAAGCCATTCAAATCAGAAAGGAAAAAGTTAAATTGTCTGTTTGCAGACTACATGATCCTCTATGTAGAAAATCCTAAAGATTCCACCAAAAAACTCTTAGAATAAATAAATTCTGTAAAATTGCAGCATACAAAGTAAACATACAAAAATAAGTAGTGTTTCTAAACACTAACAAAAGCTACCTGAAAAAGAAATCAAGAAAACAACCCCACTTACGATTGCTATTAAAAAAAAAATCCTTAGAAATAAATTTAACCCAGGGGGATAAAAGATCTGTAATCTAAAAATTAAAACATTGATAAAAAATTAAAGACAGAAACAAATGGAAAGATATTTATGTTTACGGATTTAAATAATTAATATTGTTGGGCTGGGCATGGTGGCTCACG